CTATTTTAACTCAGTACAAATAGTTTATATACGAGGGTATTTTTTAATTAAAGTTACATACATAAGTTATAAGTGATATTTAATGTTACTTAGGGCTGATATTTCAATTATCAGGTAAAAGCTATTTTTAGAATAAAGTACAGCATAAACAAATTAAAATAATGGTTGTACTGAATAAACTATTTTTCTATTGTTTTATTATAATTTTCCATGTGGTTTAATTTATTTGAAGAACTTTTACGTGTCTATGGGCCACATCACCCACTTACCATCAGGTAGACTGTGTGCTAGTATGTCACCTGCATTCATAAAAAAAAGAACTTGATTATTGAAACATCAGTCCTTAATGTTAAAAAAATTTGTAGAACAATGTATTGTCAGCATGTTCAGGGATACATACTAATTGACTATGTTCTCATTGTACTTGCAGTTATCATGACAAAAAAATAAACCTGAAATGTACAATTAATGTGTATATATAAATGCAAGAAGATATTATAAATTAAAAATGGGTATTAATACATTAACTATAAAACCAAAATAGCTTTAAAAACATTATGCAAATTTTTTTTTTATTGGATAAGGGTGACAAACGAGCACACAGTCCACCTGATAGTAAGGGTTTCCAGTAAAAAGGGTCTCCGGTTCTCTACACTCACCATATGAAACACAGCAGCATTAAGCTGCTATTTTATGCTGGTATTCTGTGAGAGCGTGGTCCTTCCCCGGTCGAGCCGACCCATTCGTGCTACAACTATATCAGTAATATAGCTGCAGCATGGCTCTACCATGTAAAAAAAATAAAAATATATTACAAACTGTTATTATTTTTGTACTAATATAATTTTCTGGCCTAGATTTAATTTACAATAGTTAATAGTTTACATAGAATATATAGATCATATGAATAATTGCCACAAGTGTATGGTTTTATTAGAAATTTTGTAAGAGCTTTGCTTAGTCCATCTATTTAAACTTAACTTATTTTTTGTTCTGCCTCATTGGTCTAGTTGTTAGCACAACTGTTAATCATGAGGTCCCAAGCTCGAATTTCGGGTCCGGCCAAATTCAGTTGTTGGGTTTTTCTGTTAAAAAATTCTCAGTAGCAGTCTGGAGTATGTAAGCATGTATAGGCGTTGGTCCTCTTCCTGATCTCTCTTTGGTTGTGTTGGATTGCCAATCTATCAGACTATGAGAGTTAGGATATAGATAAAGAGTGCATTTTGGTTTGTGCAAACACTGATGAACTAAAACCCTGGTCTGCACAGATGCCTAATTTCCATCAAGACTGGCTGCCTCGACTGAAATTTGGTCTGGAGTACATTATTGTGATTGTAGTTTAAAACTAAAAATTTCATCACCTGTGTTACATTCTACTGGCTAATATAGACTACAGCACAAACTTTTACCAGAAATTTGTTACTGCTTAGGCTATTAAAGCGTGTTGTCAACAACTAGAATAAGCTACTGCAAAATATGATTGATGGTCCAACATTAAACGCCTTCAAGAATAGATTGGATAAAATCTCCCAACATTAAGATGCACATGCATCAGTTTTTTAGCTGCTAGTGTGTTTATGTAATAATAATAATAAAAAAAACCTGTGGGAGTGTTGTGGAACACTCGGTTGGAATGAAGTTCCTTTCGTAGTATATGGTATTGATAAACGTGGTATATTATTGATTAACAAGTACAAAGAAATTTACAATTTTTAATGTCATTTAAAATTAAATAATATTTCTTTCATGGCAAGATAAGAAAATGTGTGAGGAAGATGGATATTATTCCATCTCGCCTCCTTATATCCGCCAAGGCCGTCTACACTACGTTAAAAGGGGTTGTGAGAGAAAAACTTACACTTTTTCTCGCCTAGCCCCCTTCCGCCAAATTCGTACTGTCCGATAAGGAACTTCGTTCCAAAAATAGTATTTGTTTGTAATAACTTATTGCAATTCAATGTTAGACTTAAAATGCTATTATAGGTGCAGTATCAACAACATGCAAACTATCACTGACAGTCCTTTTTCCAATGTTTATCAAAAATGCTAAAGGTGTAGCTTTAACTAACTAGTTGGTACGTATTGTGTGGTTGATTGTTTTTGAAGATAAATGGCGGCATAACCATCCTGAGATGTAACATACATGGTAGAGCCATGCTGCAGCTATATTAGTAGTATAATTATAGCACAAATGGGTCAGCTCACTGGGGAAGGACCACACTTACAGAATACCAGAGTAAAATAGCAGCTGACACTGCTGTGTTTTGTATAGTGAGTGTAGAGACCAGAGACCGCTTCTACTGAAAACAAGGTATTCCATATTAGTTCTCTGGGGTAACAACGCATCAGCTTTTTGATTCGTAGTTGAGGATAAATGTAGATGTCTATGTGCCACAGCAACCACTTACCATCAGGTAGACTGTGTGCTTGTTTGTCACCATTATCCTATAAAAAAATACACTGAACCAATGATGGGTAGTATTTTCAACGATGTGAGAATTCTGACACTGCAATTGTCAATCTGCCTACAAGCATGGTGATTAAAAACGCTAGAGGCAGTGGACTTTTACAGGTCAATAAAGAACTGGTTCTGATTAAGACTTGAAACCCAAGTTTTATAACCCTGTTGTCCATGCATTACTATCTACACATGCTGTACTATGATTTGTTAAGAATGTGTTATCATGGCCAGTGTCATGAAACACCTTGCCTCACCATTTATATTAATTGGTGCCGTTAAGTGAAATAATTAAGTATATATATATATATATATATATATATATATATATATATATATATATATATATATATATATATATATATATATATATATATATATATATATATAACTAAGGTATATCTAACTACAGACATGTAGAATAATACATATATAAAGAAATAAAATCAATTAACTTCATGCTATTATTACATGATTAGTGTACCATCATAAGTGAGAGGTTACCTACTAGGATTAAAAATAATCTTTTGGACTGTTACACCGCTCCATCCATCACCCATTACAGCCTATAAAAGTCTACAGCCAAATATAGGTCTCCCTCAGAGATTGCCTCAAGGGGGGATTTTGCCATAGTTGCCAAGTATTGGCAAGCGGTTTGGCAACCGCAGACTTTGGAGTGAAAATTTCTTTAGAATTGTTGCTATTTGAAACTCGATGAAACGAAAAAGCGGCACTAAAAAGAGACAAACATATACTGATGTATATGTCTCTTTCTAGTGTCGTATAGGATTTATGAGATTTATTTATTTAGGATTTATCTGCGAGAGAATGAGATAGAATATTATAATATATTAGTCATGTTTAGGCCATTTAGTTGCTTTTGTTTGAAAAACGTACTTACGTATAGAATGAAGTAGATGGCACTGTTACAATTTTCTGAAAGTTTGACTTCTACAGCATGTGAATTGCACAGATGTTGGTTTTTATTCTCCTTCTATTATTTTTAGTCTCCGGATCTCTGCACTCACGGTGCGAAACACCGGAGTGTTAAGCTGCTATTTTACGATGGGATTCTGTGAGAGTGTGGTCCTTCTCCGGTCGAGGCGACCCATTCGTGCTACAACTATACTACTAATATAGCTGCAGCATGGCACTACCACGTATAAAAAATGTAGCCTTTATATCCCAAAACAAACAATCCTTTTTTAAATAAATTTTTAATCTGGAGGTAGCCATGGTTAACTATGACATTGGGACGTCATACACCTCAGTCTCCCCCGTGACCATGGGTGCTGGTAAGTGCTGGAAACGTCGGGAATATAAAATAAGTTAATATACGCGATAAAATCCGTAAAATTAGTTTTATTTAAATGTGTAGTGTTTGCGTAAATATAAGAAATCATTATACAAACAATCCTACTTTCTTTTTATTCAGTTATATTATAATATCTCTCTGAGTTCGGTGTGCCTCTTGGTAAAGGCATCCTTTAACAATTTGCATTGTTCTCTATCTTTTGCGACTCTTCTCCATTTATAATCCACTGTTAATTTTAATTCGTCCTTTCATCTTTTGCATTATCAACCTCTATTTCGTTTCCAGTTTCTGTTATATTGTTAGAGCCAACCAAAAGTCCATTGCTGTCTCATAAGAGGATATTTGCCATAGTTTATTTGCAAGCTTGTTAGGCAGGTTGGCAAAAACAGTTTTTTTAGTTGTTCTTAGGAAGACGCTGATGCTTATCTCGTAGATAGTTTCCCTCTGTCGCCCACTATGACACCCATAGGGCGATATTGGGTAATGAATATCCTTACGCTGCCGCTACTTGGCTCATATGGTCATTCTACACCCATTTCTCTTTGTTCATTATGAAGTTTTATACTATTTATGCATTCAGATTTTATTTTTATAAACTAATTGTAAATCCAGTTTCAATGTTTTTATATAAAGTCTAAAAAATAGTTAAAAATATTTGTTATAGGCAGACGGACAAATGGATGCCAAGATTTTATTAATTTTGTTTTGCTGCTCACACAGTTCTAAACTTATCTACATATTCACATTAAGAACTTGTCATTTTAACAAATAAATTCGCTAAATCAATACAATATATGCTAATAAGATGGAAATATTCTTAATTCAAATATTTACATAGTAAATAATGACAAGGCATATAATAACCTGCAGGTCACATTGAATTAAATAATAGGAATATTATTATTTTTTAATTTTACACATGTTGTTTTGAATTCTATATTTAAAAGTTGGTTGTGAATAGAATTTTAGTAATTTTTTTATCATACTAAAATTCTACCATTTTTCTTTTTTTTTCAGTTACTGTAGCATCGGATACAAGGCCATCATTATTAACCAATATTTTAAACACTGTTATATATAATCCATTAGATATTTTCATTAAAATATTGGAAGATCCCTGGAATTTTTTTACGATAGTTAACCTAAAAATTACTATAATAATATGTATCAATTATTCATGGTCACTATTTCTTTTGTTTCAGAGTAAAGTGTCAATCTTGAGTAAAAATGTTGCGGCGTTGCTCTAAACATTTGCAGACTTTATACCGGAGGCAGGGTCAGAGCCTCCGGTACAGGTCCACCGAAGTGCCCAAGATTTTAGGTGCTCTGCCTCAAGCGAGGCTAGTCCACGCCAGAGTCATTACCTCTCATAATCAGATTGCTTCAATCCACTTCACAAGACCGTTGTACGAGGAACAGGATGTTATGACGCCCGGATTTCCTGACTCAGTGTCTGAAGGTGACGTCAAACTTGATAAGAAAGTTGGGGATGCTGTAGCGGCTGACGAAGTAGTTCTGGAGATTGAAACTGATAAGACCGCAATTCCTGTCATGGCTCCAGCCCATGGAGTCATAAAGGAGCTGTATGTAAATGATGGAGACACAGTAAAAGCTGGCCAAAAGTTGTTCAGGTTGGAAATAACTGGTGAAGCGCCGAAGAAGGCAGCAGCGGCTGCTCCAGAACCACCTAAAGCGGAAGCCCCGCCAACTCCACCACCAGCAGCGGCTACTCCACCACCTCCGCCTTCCCCACCGTCATCTGCTCCAACTCCTCCACCTCAAGCCCCGCCACCACCTAAAGCTACTCCTCCTCCACCAGCTGCTCCAATCTCATCCATCCCAGTAGCAGCGATCCGCCACGCTCAAGCTATCGAAACTGCTACAGTTAAGGTCCCACCAGCGGACTACTCGAAAGAAATCTCTGGCACCCGAACCGAGCAACGCGTGAAAATGAACAGGATGCGTCAGCGAATTGCACAGCGTTTAAAGGAAGCGCAGAACACCAACGCCATGTTGACCACATTCAATGAAATCGACATGTCCCATATCATGGCCTTCCGTAAGAAGAACCTAGATGCTTTCACCAAGAAACACGGTGTGAAACTTGGACTCATGTCGCCGTTCGTGAAAGCTGCTGCCAATGCTTTAATGGATCAACCTGTAGTCAATGCAGTTATAGAAGGAAACGAAATAATCTACCGCGATTACGTAGATATCTCTGTAGCTGTTGCTACGCCAAAAGGCTTAGTTGTTCCGGTGATCAGGAATGTTCAAACTATGACCTACGCTGACATCGAGTTGACTATTGCCGGCTTAGCGGAGAAGGCCCGGACAGGTAAGTTAACTGTCGAAGAGATGGATGGTGGTACTTTCACTATCAGCAATGGTGGCGTATTTGGGTCCCTCATGGGCACGCCCATTATCAATCCACCTCAATCTGCGATTTTGGGAATGCACGGTATATTCGAGCGGCCTATAGCATTAAATGGTCAAGTTGTTATACGACCAATGATGTATATTGCCCTCACTTATGACCACAGATTAATTGATGGCCGTGAAGCTGTGTTGTTCCTTAGAAAGATCAAAGAAGGAGTGGAAGACCCGGCGACGATCCTTGCCGGACTGTAATTAGAATTAAAAAAAAACGAAAACTATCTCCGAGTTGCAGCTGTCGATACACATGTAGATAGGTAGAGTAGGTGAGTCAGTTTGTTCTGGGGAATGTAAATCTATTAAACAAAAATATACTCGTAAATATAATAAGCAGTATTAATATCTTTCTTGCATAAGATCAGAGAAAAAAGTTCTTGGAATCAGCTCTCCTACTCTATGAATAATCTGTGGATTATATATAAGTTAAGTTACCAATATTATTTGTTGCACTTTTGTAAAAATAAAACAAATGGCGACACTGGCTTGTAGAGCGTTTCAAGAGCGAGCTATTTAACTGAATCATATAATTTATTTACAATAACTATTTTGATATTTTGCGAACCGGGCTGCCTAACGGGTGCATGTTTCGCACATTATTTTTGTTTGTATTTATTAAATACGTCCGATAGCGTATTATTTATCGAGAATTAAGTGATTGTAATAAATATATGACACTATAAAATGTTGTTTTATTATTCATATTATATTATTATTATATGTATATAAACTAGGTATAAAGATTCACTGAGCTCAGTCCGACAGACAGTTTCAAAATTATCTATACAAATGAATAATGTAATGTCAAAATAACAGCTTTTTACTAAATGCATATGAAAGTGTATAACATTTCAAGTAACAAAAAACAACTTTTTGTCTGTCTGTTTGTTCCGGCTAATCTCCGAAATGGCTGGGCCGATTTCGAAGAGACTTTCACAGACAGAATCTAACTGATGTTATAAGGAGTAACTTAGGCTACTTTTATTATAGAAAACGGACCGTGTTCCGCGCAAAAAAATTAAAATACATAAAATCCTCTGATTTCAAGCCTATCAACGCTGGTGTTCCACTAGGCTACGTGCTATCACCAACGCTGTTTATCCTGCATATCAATGATATGTTGTAAGCTGGTAGCATTCATTGCTATGTAGACGACAGCACTGGTGATGCCTTATATACCGGCCGTGCCAATATTTCTCGGGAAAACGTCGCCGAGTACTGGGACAAACTTGTGTCTGAAGTCGAGTCTGCTGAACAAAGTCTCGGATTGGGGGCGACTAAATCTAGTCCAGTTCAATCCCCTGAAGACACAAGTTTGCGCGTTTACCGCTAAAAAGAACCCCTTTGTCGTATCTCCTCGTTTTCAAGGCACTCCCCTTGCTGCCTCAGCTAGCGTCGGAATCCTCGGCGTCGAATTTACAAAGCGCAAGTTCGGCCTCACATGGAATACTGTACTCATATCTGGGCGTATCGAAAACTGACCGGGTCCCCCTAGGCCCCCACAGGGTCCCTCTAGGCTCTCTCAGGGCCTTCTTCGGCCCCTTCCCGGCTTCTCACAGCCTTTGCAGCCTCCAGTATTTCCCTGGGGCCCCAAAAAGGCCGACCCACCGCGGACAACCTCCGCCCCTCAACAATCACAGCCCTCAATGGTCGATGACCTTAATACGGTTTACGCCGCTATAAGGAACATCGACATCGGGGAAGTCGCTGTCTTAGCACGCAAATTGCGCGCTGCTCGGTCCCCTCAGGACCGTCCCCTCGCTCTTGTAGAGCATAACAATCTTTTGTGCTCATTGTAAGTTAAGTTAACTTAAGTAACTTAACTATACAATGACAGAGCAATCTGCTCTGCCAAAATCTCACGGTCGTATCAAGCCTAAAGGGTTATCGCTTGTTTCATTTAACATTCACGGTTTGCGAATTAATCTCCCAGAGCTTAAGCTCTCTTCGAGATCGCGAAGCCGATTTCCTCTTCCTTCAGGAAACTAATCTTAAAACTAAGGACAGTAAAGGCCTTTCCATTAAAAACTTTTCTCTTTTTCGTAATGACAGACCCGACCGCCGAGGTGGCCATTTATTACAAGAAGACACGTCACTGCTCTCCTATTTCTACTCCGCAGCTTACCAATATAGAGGCCACGGTATGCAGGCTAGCTATGACGACATCAGTCCATCTTCATAGCCTCCTGTTACAACCCTGCTGGAACCCTTCCCCTCAAAAAAGATTTTGAGGCTATTTTATCTTTAGGCAATTCAGTCATTATGTTTGGAGATTTTAACTCCAAGCACACTGAATGGACATGCCGTACTACCTCCCGTAGTGGCAAGAAACTGCTCGATATCACGCAGTCTCTTGACCTTACCGTCCACAGTCCCCTCGGTGTTACTCACTATCCCGATAACACCGACCACGCCCCCGATGTACTAGATTTTGCGTTACTCAAAGGAGTTTCTCTCAACCTCAGGGCAATCGAGACACTAGACGATCTAGGATCCGACCACCGACTGGTCTCCCTCATTCTTGGCCATCAGCCACCTCCCCCAACGCCCACGAAAACCTTCACTAATTGGAAGGGCTTCAAGGAGTCCCTAGCTAAAGCTCTGGACTCACGGGACTCTCCCATCTCCCTATCGTCGGACTTAGTCCCGAAAAAATCGACACCGCGGTCGATTCACTCTCCACCCTTATTAAATCCTCCCTTAAGGAGAACGAAAGGGTCGTCCCGGTTGATAATAATAGTGGGCTTCACCTACATATTAGCAACCTATTAAAAGCCAAGAAAGCTGCTTTCCGGAGAGCAGCAAAATATCCCAACCCCGAATATAGGCGCAGGGCCAATCGTCTTCAACGAGAACTCCGTTGCCACCTCTCTGAATTTCGAGACCTCGAAAAGAGTAAACTCATGGAGAATATCTCTCCCTCCCATACAGAGTACTATCAGATGGCAAGAGCCCTCCGCATAGACGCTATCACCCACACCCCCTCCCTCCCGTCCCGACGGTACTGTTGCCTTCGAGGACAAGGAAAAGGCTGAGTGCTTTGCAGACAGCATTGCCGCACAATGCTTTCCTAGCTCTCAACCCGTCGACCCCTCACACATTCAGGCAGTGAAGGAAGAGGTCCGCCGCCGAAACTCACCCCCTACAGCCTCTGACCCCATCACTGTGTCCAATGATGAGATTTCGTCCCTCATCAAACGACTTAAGCCCAAAAAGGCATCGGGCGCGGATGGTATCTCCAAAAACACTTAAACACTTTCCTGAGCAGGTGTTAACCCTTTTAACTATTATCTTTAATGCCTGCTTCAACCTTAGTTACTTTCCCACTACGTGGAAAGAGGCAACTGTGATTGGTATTCCCAAGCCAGGAAAGCCTTTCAACCTCCCCTCCAGTCATCGTCCCATTAGCCTCCTGAAGGCCATGGGCAAACTCTTCGAAAGAGTCATCCTCACTCGAATGAGGCTCCATCTGTTTCCCACAGACGGTGACCCTCTTGTCATCCCCTCCCCCCCATCAATTTGGTTTCCAAGCGAAATATTCTTGCCCCCAACAAGTTCACCGTATTGTGAAATATATCCTCAGCGGTTTTTATCCTCGTCGTCATAAGACCATCGCGGTCTTTTTCGACATCGCCAAAGCTTTCGATAGAGTCTGGCATGAAGGCCTTATCTACAAACTATATAGAATAGGTCTCCCCGATCGTCTAATACGTCTCGTGGCCTCTTATCTGCAGCATCGTACCTTTCGTTTTAGACACGAAGGCACGCTCCCTCTCACAGCGCCCCATCAAAGCTAGTGTCCCTCAGGGCTCAGTACTTGCTCCTCTCCTGTACATCATGTTCACCAACGACATTCCTATCCCGTCGAATGGTGGTCAGCTCTCTCTCTCTCTTCGCAGATGACACTGTCCTCTATTGTAAAGGTACCTCGCTACCTTTCATACGGAACAAGATCCAAAAGTCAGTTAATGACCTAGGAGCTTGGTTCCAAAAATGGCGCATCGATGTGAACCCGGAGAAGAGCTCCGCCGTTCACTTCGATTATAAACGACGCTGACTCAAAAACTCTCCACCAATACGTATGCTAGGGACCCCTGTCCCCTGGCATACGTCTGCCAAATATTTAGGCGTCACCCTTGACACAAGGCTCACTTTCGGGCCCCATGTCAAAAGAGTAACCCGTCACGCACGTTTTTACCTGAGTAGGCTCAACAGTATGTTGGGCCGACACAGTAAAATGTCCCTCAGAAACAAGCGTACCCTTTATAAGGTCTGTATACGACCAGTCATGTCTTACGCGGACCCCATTTTTGCCCACGCTGACCCTAAAATTATTAATGAACTCCAAGTAGTTCAAAACCTCTTCTGCCGTCGAGCTGCGAACGCACCTTGGTACGTCCGTAATGCCGACCTTCATCGGGACTTAGAGCTCCCTACAATCCAGCAATTTCTAAAAACACTTTCTGAGAACTTCTTCAAAGCCTCAGAGTCGCATTCCAATAATTTTATTCGTGAGGCAGCTACTTATGCAACCCCACTCCCCTCTTGCTATTGAGTCCGCAGGCCGAGGAACTCACTCTCGGACCGGCCAAATAAAATTTCAACCAACCTGAACTGCCTCCTGGCGGCTCGGGCCGATTCTTCTTAAGTCTGCCTAAGTAGGCTCTCCCTCAGCGGCTCTTTGTAGCCGCCTGCGCCCTCTTCTCCCAAAAAAGGGTCGCTTCCGATCCGGCAAAGAGGCTTAATCGGCCAATTGCCAGTCCCCAAAGGCGGTTTTTGTGGGTAGCATCTAGGCTCCCCTTTAGGTTAGACACAGTGAGCCCCACATAACCACGACAGACCGGCAGTCGTGGTTATGTCGTATAAAGTATTTACCGCCTCCCCACGTAACGGGGTAGGCCTTTTTCTAATTGCTCCTGGGCGCAAAAAAAAGATCATTTGAGTACTACTGATATGAATAGGTATCGATACTTTGATGGTATCGGAACATCCCTACACGCGAATGGGCGCTGTTACATACAATCCCTTTGAATGTTGAGGCGAGTGACAAGTTACGCGTCAATACACGCGTCAGATCACGTGTACGTTACGTAGGTGGGCGCCGCGCTTTAAGTATCAAAAGTGACAACGCATCTGTAGCCCTCCTTTGTATGAAGTTGGCTGCATGTGTTCCTAGACTGCTGGAGCCACTTACCATCAAGTAGATGCACTTAAGTTTTATACGGGGTGGGGAAAAAGTAATCACATTAAATAAAAAGACTTATCCTACATAACATTCTTTGAACATAACCAACTAAAAATATATAAAAATTAACATTCTATTCGCGGTAGCCCTTTTTTTCGTTTTTTGCCTAATTCCTTATGAATTGGAAAGTGTAGGTAAACAAATACCTATGTCGATGCCGCATGAGCACTGCTCACCTGCGGAACCGTAGCCGCTTTTACAGGTCACTTCAGGTCAATCAAGGTGATTTATTTCGTGTCAATTTTTATGCTATTTATTTTGTTTCAATGATGCATTTTTTATTATTGGTAGAATTGTTTATTTTATTATTTTAACAGACATAATATATGAACTTGTATTTACCGCTGTGTTATGTAATGTGATAACCTCATCACCACCCAGTATAAATATCTTTTTTAAATGAATAGCGATTGTTTTATGTAGCCTATTAAGAAATCGATTTAATAATCGGGTGCGTTCACAAATTCACACAAATGTTTGATTTGTTAGGTAACCATGGTAACGTGATGTGAATTGTCACAATGCACTGAAAATTTGTTGTAATATTTTAAATATTGTTGTGTATAACGATTAGCGTAATGGTTGGAACTAAATAAATTAAAACAGTATACTTACAATTCAATTTGTCGCATGGTAAGTAAATATTAATAATGCGATATTAATTTATTGTTTTTACACACAATATTATACAATAAGGGCGGCTCGTACAACATTTTGCTTAAATTTTATTTAATTAATTGCTTTTATATAATGAGCCACCCACCATCATTCATCGACTTCCTGCATCTCTAACCAGTTTGTCACTCCATCTAGTGACATCTTACTCGAGAACCTTTCTTCCTCATCGGTGGGTACAGGTGACTCAGGTTCGTGCTTTGTGGCATTCCTTGGGTATCAGTGGAAGGTTTGAAGGGTTGTAGCGCTGATTATGATGATAGGTACGAGTATATATTTTTATTAAATTACTAATTTATATAAACATTTTAACTTTTTAACCGAGCTTTGTGGCATTCCTTGGGGGAGGACTGTCTCGTTACTGACCGTAAGCACAGAATAAATAACCCGTAAGCGCAATTCGTCATCATGAGGCCCCTGGATCGAATCCCGGCCAAAAAAATGTTGGAATTTTTTGGTCAATAGACTCTCGATGGTAGCCCAGAGTCAGGAAGTTAGGGGTGTTTCAACCCCATGCGCTTGGAAAGCGCGTAAGGCCGTCGGTTAGACTAATCTCTCACCGGTTGTGTTGGTTTGCCGTTATGCCGATAGTGCACTTGTGCTTGCACAATATAAGCCTATCCTGCGCAGATAGCCATTGTATGACCAATCTAAACGTAGTTGTCGTTTAGAATGGCCATACTATCTGGCCAGCTAGTCATTATGTAGGGTTATTTTTCAGAGACTAGCCAAATTTTAAACTTAAGTTCAAATATATAAATAATGATATACTATTTTTGCAGTTTTTGATAATACGTGTAAATAACGCTTCTACTTTTATTTGAAATTATCCCAAATTGAATGTGATTTATGGGCAACAACGTTTTACCTACCGATCGACCCTTACGAATGTATACGTACGTAGTAAAATCAGTTAAAATAATGCATTAACACGCATTTTGAATTAAAATGATGGAGGACAGAATTATTGAGACTTTTTTTAAATTAATTTTTCTTCATCATTTGCCTTTGTTACTTATTCTGAACCTTCTCTGCAAATTTTGCAATAGCAAAATAACCCTGTTTAAAGAACGTTAGATACCCCACACTAGGATTTTCTCCTGTGTCGTGGAGGCAGTTTACAAACATAAATTGCACAACTACAAACATCCAGACCCGGAACAATTATTTGTAGGCCATACGAATATACTTGTTCTGTGCGTGATTCAACCACGCGGCACGCAACGCCACGACCCAATTCTAAAAACCCCTACGCCACGGACCCGTCATATTCGAATCGTTGTCATTTTTCGAATTACAAATTTAAAAATATGTTTTTTAGGTTAGGTTTCGCACGGGTGATTTCTGTATCCTGTCAACAGCGCAACCTAACGGGTCTATTGTGAATCTAAACCGTCGAATCAACTTAATCACACACACAAAATTTCATCAAAATCGGTCCGTTCCGGAGTTCAGTTACATACACACGAACAGAAGAATCTATATACAAATAAATAAAATTGAAGTGTCTATTTGTAATATCAAAATAACAGTTTTTTTACTAAATACATATGAAAGTGTATATGGTAGGTACTTAAAACATAAACACAATTTTTAAAATTTTTGTCTGTCTGTCCGTCTGTCTGTCTGTTTGTTCCGGCTTATCTCCGTAACGGTTGGACCGATTTTGCCGGGACTTTCACTGGAAGATAGCTGATGTTCTAAGGAGTAACTAAGGCTACTTATATTTGAGAAAAGGAATTAGGGTTCTGAGCAATATAATTAAAACCCTAAATTACACGCGGGCGAAGTCGTGGGGAACAGCTAGTTGTAAATATAATTATACATTTATATAGGTACCTTCCTAATATTATTTATGATCATTCTGTCTATTGATGAAAACCCCATGAAAATCTCTAAAGTAGTTTAAAAGATCTAAGCGTACATATGGCGGGAAAAGATATTTAAAGTTTTTTTTAACGCCCTCGCTCTGCCCTTTGTGGGTGGAATTTCATAAAATCCGTTCTTGGTAAGTTTTAACATCCAAAAAGAATATTCTGGCCAAATTTTATACTTATAGGAGCTATAGTTTGAAAATGGGATTTTTTAATTTTTTAATTAACGCTCCCGCAAGTCCCTTGCGGATTTCGTAAAATCCGTTCTTAGCTGACCTCTACCCGGTGAAAGGTATTAAAGTTTTAATTAGGTGTTAAATATTCCTATCAGATTTCAATTCTCTAGGCCTTATACTTCCAGAGATATCGTGATGAGTCAGTACATAGGTAGAAATCTCTTATATAAAATTATGAAATATATCTATTATTTGAGTAGATTTATAACACTTTTACAGCATCAACGGACGCCTTGTTTACACCATTATCTATCTGTATTACCGTTATAATAATAATAATCTATAAACATTACCCCCACACTAACATTTTTTCTGTATCGTGGAGGCAGTTTACAAATATAAATTGCACGAGGACAAACATCCAGACCCGGAACAATTACTTGTAGGCCATACAAATACTTGTTTCGTGCGGGATTCGAACCGGCGGCCCCCAGCGCAACAACTCATTGCTAAGCCACTGCGCCACGGAGCCGTCAATAAAGCCTATCAAAAGTCCACTGCTAAACCCCCCACTTGTACTGCCTCACAGGCTAATATTCCCATATTTGCCATAGTTGCCACGCATGGCAGGTGGGTTGACAACCACATTTTCTTCGTCGTCATCTGTCATCTGTTACGACACCCACGGGATGATTATGGTATTATTCTTACACCGCCACTACACGTTACCTAACTTTATCATCAGTAGCAGTTCCAAAAACTGAACTTGCATCTCATATAAATGTTTAGTGTTTTATTTCAGACGATATAATATAAGCTATATATAAGCTAAAATGCAGAACTCTTCAAGAAGGATAGTGGATAAAAACAAAAGCAAAGAAATAGTCAAAGATGATTTATCAGGATCATCTAGAAAGTCGCAGGAGGAAAGGTTAAAGAAGAGCGTGTCCACACCTCGAAACTATGTACAGAAAACTACACCCACTGATATATATGGTAAAAAGAAACCAAATGTTTTACAAGCTCCAAAAAAGGCGGCGTCTTCGTTATCTACACATACAAGTAAAAATGTATCACCAATGAAAGATTTATTAAAATCTTCGTCGTCTTCCGTGAGTAACATTAGTAGCGGAAGGAGTTCTTCTAAAATGGCGATTGAAAAAAGAGTCGAAGCAAAAGCTAATATACCATCGTCCAAGAAAAGCACTCCACGCACTGTTAAAGCTCCGCCACCATTTAACGTCACTGTAAATTCGCCCGTGTCGAAGCGGAAATTAGGTATAGATTTGAATAAGGAAAAATGTAATTTGAACACTGACAACAAAATCAGAAATGTAACTAATGCATCAGTTGATGAGGATCAGGGTAAAAATAAAATGACGGATATAATATTTCTACGACAGCGTTCTAAAACTCGGACTTTAGATGAAAATGAAGTTAAAGTATTGAAGCCTGATGTTGTAGATAATAACGCAGAAATGCAAAATTTATCACGGAGACTGAGTGCTAAGCCGAAGTCATTTTATGTGGACTTAAACAGTGAACAAGAAAAGGTATTAATTATTCCATTCCATGAACTCTAATTTCATTTGGTTGGCCTAGTATGGTCTATTGGAGAACTTACAGATAAGTTACCCACCAGTAGGCAGTTTCTGTTAAGAATGATGGTGCCTATTTGAAACGTTGTTCCGTCAATTGAATTTCGTTGACTGCATCAGCATATTTTGTCCAAATTTCATTCCGATTTAATTAAACGATTTGAAAAGTCTGTTATGAGGAGTAAAAAAAGTGCGCTTGTATTTATTTCTTCTTTATTACGCTTTTATAGCAAGGCTATTTATATTAAAGAGATCTATTTCCTCTAATTTTATTAAAACCCTATTCTTTCATGTAAATGCTTGTTTCGACTTGAATAAAATTTGTTTGCTGCATAGTGCAAAAAAGACAATGATCTGCCAGTCTTTCCATTCCATTCATTCTATTCATTTTATACAGTTTGGGATCATTTAAAACACTCTAAAGCTATAGTTTTTTTTTAATTATTTAGGCCGAAAAAGAAAAACCTAGCGAGGAGGAGGAAGTAAGTTATGAGGATGATTTTGAAAGTTACGAGTCAGACTTCGATTCCTATCACAGTGAGACTCCAAGTGAAAAAGACTCAAGCGCCACCGACGAAGAACAAAATGACGGGGCGACTGAAAATAATAATTTAGTAATAGAGGATGAAAATAGTGTAAAAGATGTGAAAGATGAAGAGAAGATGTTAGACTCAGGTAAGAGATAAAGCATTTCAGAGGATTACATTAATAGAAAGTCAAATGTGTGCATTTTAGCCATAAAACATACAATTTATAAATACCTACTAATATTAGTTTCATCGTACACGTTTATACGTCTAGAGCCATGCTGCAGCTATATTAATTGTATAGTTGTAGCACGAATGCGGCGGCTTCACCGGATAAGGACCACGCTCTCACAGAATTCCAGCGTGAAATAGCAGCTTAATGCTGTTTTATTTGGTGAGTGTAGAGAACCGGAGATCCCTTTTACTGGAAAAGAGGCATTCCAATCAAAATAATAAGGACTAAGTCCTTATTATTTTGATTCGCAAACGAGGATATATGTAGCTATTTATGGGTCACAGCAACTAGGTACTTACACCCTTATCCTATAAAAAACACTTTTATAACAGAAAAAAAAAAGGTCGTGGAGGAACAGGTATCATAAGTGTAGCAAATATGTAAGCCCAAAGCGTCAAATGAAACAGAAGATAGGCAACAGCATCTTCGAGAAAACGACTAAATATAATAAAATACCGTGGTTGTTAACCCGTTTCCCAAGTGGCGCAACTATGGCAATAATCACCCCTATGAGGCGATCTGTGGGGTGGCCTATGTTCAACAGTGGAATTTTAGAAGACTGTAATGAAATGATAGAAAAATTACACAGTTACGGAGTGTTTCCCAACAGCGGTGATTCCTTCCAATTACATAATCGCACTGCAGCTCGTCACGATCGGCATTGAAGTTTTCATATTCAACTTTCAATAGAATCTATACTTTAGAAATTCAAGCAACACAACAGTTTCAAGCCACGTCTTCAGTTTGTAGTTTGTTTAACAATGACTGTATCCTAAAGTAAACTTAGTGATGTTGTGTATCACTTTAGGTGAAAGAAATGAGTACGTAGACTTTTTATATTGTAAAAAAGTTAAAGTTACAGCCTATATACGTCCCACTGCTGGGCACAGGCCTCCTCTCATTCCTGAGAGGCTTACGTAGACTTCTTATATCGTAAATATTAATTAATTAAATTTGTTAATTACTCGACTACAGTGCCACCTATCGGGTTCTGATTCAGTTATTTAATTTTTTGACAGTTAATCAAGATGTATTGTGAATATGAGTAAGTTTGGTCTATAAATATAGAATTTGTTAAAAACCTAACTAAAGATCCTAGCATAGGTATGAACCATGGTCTCAACAAAACAAATATATTGTGTGAATATGATCAAAATTGGCCTACTCGTGGCGCTACACGATCACTAACAAATGCACCAACGATGAATAAAGATTGAGTAGAGATCGCTAAAAATGTCAAATGTTCTGGGAGTTTTGATTAATAACCATTTAGCATGTAATATTAAAATCCTTGTTTGTGTTTTATATAACTCTAAATCCACCTAGGTAGCTATGACCTTCGAGATCTGCAACGATCCACTCAGAAGGTGAAGCCAGCCGTGCTGGATTTCATCTTGGAAGGATCGGAGGATAGTGATAAGAAGCCCTCGTTGACAGATGAAGGATTTCAAGAAATGTCGAGCTCTAGCACCGTGTCTAGTATGAAGACAGTGCACATCGATGTTTTGGACAGGTACCTTCTTCTTCATTTCAGTAACTCGTAAAAGTCCACAGTCTAACATGTCTATTTTCTTGTAGAGGAAGTTTTATCTTAATCGTTAAGGCTTGACAAGCGAATTGACGTTCGCAGTACCAGAATACGAGATAGTATTACGCTGCAGCTGTAATATGGTTGCAGCACAAATAAGTAGGCTCAACCGGAGACGAACCACGCTCTCACGGAACACCAACTTGATTTTATTTATGGAATAAGGGACAAACGAGCATATATAATAGTCCAGTGGTAAGTGTGTGGCGGCGCTGTCATCGCGCCACAAGCAAAACACATCAAAGCCTAAATCGCGCTAACAAAGTTCCGAAGTTAAAGCAGTATATATAGAATAGCTCCGAACTAACACTCGGAGCGATGGCCGCTACCCGGGCAGAACACATTGCCCGGCGGGAGATCTCCCCTTTTCCTTCCATCCGCCACAAGTGGATACTGTGGCTCATCAATCCTCGATAAAGAATCAAAATGCAGATGCGCTGCCACCCCTGTGGACTGAGATGGAATGCCTCATTTCCAGTGCCTCATTTCCAGAGTGTAGAGCACCGAAGACCCAAAAAGGTTCTTCGGTGCCTCTACACTCACCATAGGAAACACAGCAGCATTAAGCTGCTATTTTACGCTGGTATTCTGTGAGAGCGTGGTTCTTCCACGGTCAAGCCGACCCATTCGTGCTACAACTATAGTATGGCTGCGGCATTGCTCTACCACGTGCATCAATAGCAGCTTAATGTGAGTGTACAGAACCGGTGACCCTTTTTACTAGTAACGAGGCATTCTATCTTAGTCCTCACGGGTGACAACGCATCTGCAATTTGATTGTTAATCGAGTATAGGTATAGACGTAAATAGGCCACAGCATTCACTTATTATCAGGTGGACTGTGTGCTCAATTGTCTGTCACCTCGCACTTTTGACGCTGCACTACTATCGGAAGCCACAAGATTTTTGTGGCGTATCATATACATAGTGTTCTCTTGCGACACCCATAGAATGGAGTGGAGTAATCTTGTATCCTTGTAATCCGCGGCACGGTAAAGTCGATTAAGGTATCCAATTTAGTGAAATCTGTTACAAATGAGGTAACTATTTCGATGTATATACTCGCGTGTGCACGAATATATCGGCATGATAGGAAAATGGCCATGTGAATTAGAGCATTATTCTGCTATGTTTTGTAAGGAGGCATTACAGTATCTTCATCCTCAGGGGTGACAACGCATTTGAATTTAGATTGTTGATCGAGGATAGATGTAGTTGTCTATGGACAAGCATTCACCTACGCTGTGTGTTCCTTTGTCTACGCCAATAAAATTGTTAATACCAATTTTAAGTGCTGATTACGTGTTTTACGGTGAAGGAAAACATAGTAAGGAAACGCATGTCTGAGAAATTATAAAACACTACGAATATAATATATGAAGGCTACTTGTGTGTTATATTGCGATTTTCGAATCGACGTTGCGGCGGTAACTTCCTTACCTACATTAAAATTTCTTAAGGATGAGAAGCTCTGTCTAGCTGTGGCCTTTTTTACTTAGAAAAAAAAGCGGGAAAGATCCCATCACATTGATGTGATGAGGTTTCTCGGACTATAAATTCAAGTCTTACTTCTTTAAATAGAACAGACAAAAATCCTCTAATGTTTTTCTTTACTGACAAGTTCGTAATACGGTACTTATGATTTCGGATTGTCTGAGTATAATGATATTTAAAGAGTATCCCTAGACCCCTGATTTACCACTGCATTTTCTTTTTAGCAATGAGGGGTTTGCGCACTTCAGTGGGACATACATAATATTTTTAATTTTACTTTTTATTTCTACTTGTTTCAGACCACTCTTTATAGATTTTACAATATCGAAAGAGAACAAACGCAAACGTCGAATATTACAACAACTTAAACAAAGAGCGCAAGATATTTTAAGTATGATATCATTGCACGAAATGACGTATATGCTGTTCGAACTGGCACCTATTCCGTACGATTTGTATATGGTAACATATGGCCAAGGTAATTGCACACAAATTGCAGTGCAAACTTTTGATGATGGTATTACTGAGGAAGTACAAACAGAAAAAATTTCCTATGACAACAAATGGACTCAGCTTCCAGTAAAATTTTCAAAACATGAAGTTTATTTAAATGCTAATATAGTAAATCGTAAAGAACACGATGATTCTTTTACAAAATTGTCGATGTTTGGAAATCAGAAGACCGAAGACCGCGGTGATGAACAATGTGACGATAAAAATTATAGAGATAATCCATTGAGAGTATTTTTAGAACAGAAAGATGGCGTTGGGTCTGATGTAATCCTTCCACAGGAAACTTACAGAATAAAACTAAAACAACACGATTACAATGCTTATAGATTGAAGAAGTTTTTGAATAAAGTAGAAAGAAGGATAAGTAGTATTTTAAGTATGAATGCTGGCAACTCTGATATAAGTAATTTAATAAAGAGTTCTAAATTTCCATTTAGTAAAGGCTATATTACTATACCTACGAAAAATGTTTCCGCCGATATCTCGATTGTAAGGGAATTGAAAATTACTAATGCAATATTTTCTACAACTAGAACAAATTTATTAATTACTGTTCATGAGAAATCTTCGAGTAACGTTTCCATTCAGAAATGTATTCTTTGCATGTGGGACTTGAGTGTTGCAATGCACGATCCTCTAAAACTTCTCATTGCCACAGATAATGTTACAATTGGACGATTTAAAGGAAGCACTGATGGTATTGTTGTTGCTGCTTTAAGAGATGGGTTAGAAAACTTTTTGTATTATTTGTTAATTTTTCTTTATATGACTTTTTATACAATATAGGTCATTTGAAGAATATTCCAACCGGCATGCCTAGTTTGAATTTTTTTTCATACGCCTTACAAAGCGCCGCAGAATCGTAATACTTGTATTGGTATTACCGATTCGGATTTCAAATGGAAGACCTGCCAATTGCTGGCCATTAGATCCTCGTTTATTCGTAAGTTAGTAAAGATAAAAACCTTACCACCACACTCGGATTTTCTCCTGAATCGCGGGGGCAGTTTACATACATAGATTTCACAAGAACAAACATACAGAAGCAGAACAATTATTTGTAGGCCATACAAATACTTATTCCGTGCGGGATTTGAACCCGTGGCCCTCAGCGCTGCAACTTATTGCTAAGCCACTACGCCAGTTTTAAATTATCATCATCATGATACCCTACCCTTATAGATTGATTCATAGGAGAGTATTTGCCATAGTTGCAACGCTTGGAAAACGAATTGGCAACCGTAGTTAGTTATTATTATTATTATTGAGTTGTTACCAGGAATATACTGCTGCTCATCTCCTGTTTCAATTTTTTTTATAGTTTAAGGGTGACACGAGCACACAGTCCATCTGATGGTAAGTGGTTGCTGCGGCCCATAGACATCTACATTTATCCTCGTTTGCGAATCAAAATGCAGATGCGTTGTCCACCGTGAGGACTAAGATGCCGCTTTTCCAGTAAAAAGGGTCTCCGTTTCTCTACACTCACCGTCAAACGTCAGTTTCCGTATGTCACCTCTTACGATACACATGGGCGATGTGGGGTTGAATGCTCTTACGGCGAGCGTTTCAAATATTAAAAAATGTAATTAAAAACTCATATAGGTACTTTGTATTTTGCCAGATACTATTGCCAAATCCAGATCTTATGGCTTCCATTAGACGTCTGTATAACCATCTCGTTTATACGAGGTGAGACGTCATTCCATATTGATCGTCAATACGCGTGCATGACGATTAAGACAAATCCGGACTGGCAACATATCTATATGAGATTTTTTTTAGAATTAGTATGACAAACGAGCACACAGTCCATCCGATGGTAAGTGGTTGCTGTGGCCCATAGACATCTACATCTATCTTCGTTTGCGAATGGGTCCTCGGTTCTCTACACTCACCATACGAAACACAGCAGTATTGAGCTGCTATTTTACGCTGGTATTCGTTGAGAGCGTGATCCTTCCCCGGTCGAGTCGAACCATTCGTGCTACAGCTATTCTATTAGTATAGCTACAGCATGGCTCTACCACATAAAAATATCTACAGCGAGCTTTCTTTTAAAATTCAATTTGAGGTTTATACAAAATATAGTGTTAAACAGAGTCTTCTCTTTTTTATTTTATCTCATAAGCGTTGCATTTCATAGGTCGTAAGACTTCACTAGCTGAGAGATACATATTTGTCGAAATCAGAAGCAACATCATCAACATCTTGTCTGTTTTCAGTTTCGGTGACAATTTTTGTTTTATATCGGAAATTGCCAACTTTGCATAATAGGTTTTAGTGTAAACAAATTACACAAGCGTGTCAGTCAACGCTTGCTTTCTAGCTTTAATGTTTTTAATTCGTCTATACAGAAAATAATTATTCTTTCGTTTAAACGGTTCTTTTTTTAGAACGATACATTTATGGGACTTATCTGAAGAACCAACATGGATGCAAGATGATACCAGCAATGACAAATCTACAAATTTGGTAGAAAGAGATACGGACCGACTAACACAAACTGAACAAGATAGGGAATGGAATTTAAAGAATAGAAGCATTACTCGTGAAAAGGTTCTTTATTTTAAATGTCGTTATAAATTTTATATTTATATCAAAATCCTATAAACTACCGGACAAAATTTACAAAATTCCGCGCTATTTCAGCACTTACTAACACATACTAACGCACGTTGTGAGACAATTTGGGCAGATGTTTTGTATTAGACCCCGCATACTATAAGAAATTTGTCATGTCAGAATATCGGAAGGCGCGCTCTCCATATATTTTGTACTAGATGCCGCACACAGAAATTTCGAGACCGTATTACCGTATGATGCGCAATTGGGGTGAGACTGACGAAAATGACTGCATCGTTATTAGAATATTTAATTACCGAGGTATAAAAATATACATGCCTATGGAATATTGGTAATATATTATGATTGCAGAAAAGTAATGACTGATAGTGTGCGGAGTGTGCGGACGGGCATCCGGCGTGCGTTGGAACTTTAATGATAGATAGAAACTTACAATGTGTGACGGGCCTAAAAGTCAATTGATTGAGATAGAAACTTACAATGTGTGACGGGCCTAAAAGTCAATTGATTGAATTAAATTAAGCGGGATTAAATTAAGGTCCTTGCGTACGTGAAGTTTACCGTGTAGTGGCGGTGTAAGAATATCCATTACCTCATATTATGATCCCGTGGGTGTCGTAAGAGGTGACAGAGGGAAACAAATCAGGAGAAGGGCAGCAGCGTCTTCCTAATAACGACTTGAAATAAAATTAAACTTTGTTGAAGGTGTGCAGTTGCCACTTACATCAGGTGGAATGTAAGTTCGATTCTTACTTCAGTTTTTTTTTAAAAAAAGGCTTTCACCCTGTATACAGGAGTGTAACATGTGATGAGTCTTATGGATCTTATGATGATGACAGTAGAAATCTTACTTATAACTTCTTAAAGTGTACCCTCTTTGCAGAAGTCGGGATTCATGCAAACCAGTGCATACACTAGCAGTGGAATTGGTATCGTTAATAGTGACGTATTCGATTGTATCGTTGGTTTAGAATTTCTCGGAGATTCACAAATAAGAACTAATCAAGATAGCGGACGGAAGATTATAGCACAGGTAAATAATAATGACAGTCTAGAATATACCTAATTTTATGGATTTTATCGCGATTGATTTGACTTATTGGAACGTAGTTCTTTATTGGACGGTACGGATTTGGTGGATGGGGGCTAGGCGATAAAAAGTGTAAGACTTTTCTGTTACGAATTCTGATGTAGTGCATCCGGCTTTGGCGACTATAAGCAAGTGAGATGGAATAATATCCTCCTCCCTCGCACTTTTTCTTATCTTGCCATGAGAGAAATATTACTTTATTTTGAATGACGCTTCATATAAATAGACGCTAGTAATTCATTTATTTGTATTTGTTGATCAATAATATAATACGTTTATCAATAATAATATACTACGAAAAGAACTTCGTTCCAACCGAGTGTTCCACGACACTCACACATGCTTTTTTTTTACTTGTTTTAATGCAGGACGTTTCACAGTCTGAGGGCTCTGAGATATTTGATATCGTCATGTCATAGTTAACCTTCAGATATTGCATATTATTTTATGACAGAGCTCTACGAAAGTTTAAAAGCTCGCGGTTTAGTGATCTTAAGCGCGCATTTTGTTCATGAGGTCCCGAGTTCAAATCCCAAAGTCGAGCGTCGAACCAAAAGAAGTTATTGGGTTTTGCTGTCAAGAAATTCTCAGTAATAGTCTGGATTCCGAAAGTTGACTCTTTAAGCATGAATGCATGAATGTATGGCTATTTCCAGAAAAAACTCTTTCAAAGGGATTATATTATGAACTTAGAGGGTTGTATTGGTGATTTTAATGATAGTAATTCTATAAACACATACTCGTTAGGGTTGCGAATCATATTTTGTTAAACATACAACCTGACCCTGATCTGCAAATTCCAAAAAACGCAAGAAAATTTGAATTTCGCGGGCCACCCTGGAGCTTTCACCTTAAGCACGTAAAGCTGTTGGTCCTACGCTTGAGTATGAGATGTAATATTAGGTAAGTGGTGAGGGAATAGAGAATGCATCTGTGCTTGCGTACGCACTTACTTATACGTGGTAGAGCCAAGTTGCAGCGATATTTATAATATAGTTGTAGCATGAATGGGTCGGCTCAACCGGCGAGGGACCACGCTCTCACAGAATACCAGCGTAAAATAGCAGCTTAATGCTGCTGTGTTTCGTATGGTGAGTGTAGAGAACTGGAGACCCTTTTTACTGGAAAAGAGGCATTCCATCTTAGTCCTCGAGGCTGGCAACGCATCTGCATTTTGATTCGCAAACGAGGATAGATGTAGATGTTTATGGGTCACGGCAACCACTTACCATCAGGTGGACTGTGTGCTCGTTGTCACCCTATCCTATTAAAAAAAACTTGTGCACTATAATACTGTCCTGCGCAGATGGCTATCCAGAGGCTGTTTCAGTCTCTATGAAGAATAATCTTTGGGACATTATTATAATAAACTGTAGATGTAGCATTAATCATGCGATTACCAGTGTCTCAGACAAACGTTTAGCAACTACACTACCAAGCCGTTTTTTAAAGCGACGGCAATTTTTTTTAATATAAAATGAGGTGGGGGTGACAAACGAGCACACAGTCCACCTGATGGTAAGTGGATGCTGTGGCCCATAGACATCTACATTTATCGATTAAGAATCAAAATGCAGATGCGTTGTCACCCTTAAGGACTAAGATGGAACGTTACGTTACGTTTTCAGTAAGGAGGATCAGCAGCATTAAGGTGCTATTCTACGCTGGTATTCTGTTAGAGCGTGGTCCTACCCCGGTCGAGCCGATTTATTCACACTACAACGATAATATAGATGCGGCACGGTTCCACCACGTATATTTATGCCAATTATTTTACATTTATTTATTTTCCAGATGTGTTCTTTGCAGCGCGCTGGTATTTTAACTCTATGGTCGATAGTACAAGAAAAAACAAAATCAAAGACAAATGACATAGGAAAATCTTTTTGGTCAAAACTCTCATTGGAGAAAGCCGAAACGATTCATCTCACAGAATATTTGGATCCCTGTGTTAATGATACATTAGAAAATAGTTTCACTGATACGTTTAATTTGAACGCTGCGAAAAGAAGAATATCAAACAGAAGGCAAGAGAGAAGTTTGTTAAGGCCAAGTTCTTCCCGCGTAAAATCAGCCGTTGGGTTATATAGTGAAAATACCAGACCGCGCAGTGCTGCCAGTGCAAGAAACAGAAATACGTTACAAATAAGAAAAAATATCCAAAATATGTGGGAATCTGGACTTGTGTGTAATGATTTGAAAATAATGAGGATAAATAACGCCGATAACTTTTTGATAGCCAAAAATTGTGGGGAGGTGCTTTGCTGTACAAGATTTGCGGGCACCTTTAAGGTTAATAAACTGTGTGTTGCCAGTATGTATTTTAGTTTTATTTGCAGATGTTTTATTTTGTTTTCAATATTTATTTAAGTTGAATTAATTTAAATATTTTACCATACAGATGATACATCGTCGATAACTTGTTTAGAAGTATCACGAAATGGCCTACCGTATATTTTAGCAGCAACCGAAACTGGACTTCTCAGTTTATGCTCCATCCAAGATTATAGAGTTGTCCTTACTTTGGATTGCAGGTAAGGTTTGCATCTATGGTGGTGTTCTGTGTTTTCTAATATTTTAGTTGGTTCCCGACAATGACCCCTAGGGTCCTTGCCTTTATTAATCCATAATAGTTCACTGCTCGTTATGTGTCTCTTCCCTTTGAAGTAATACTTGATTAGCCTTAGAAGCTTCATTAGTTTTACATTTGGCATATTATATTTATGAAGGTGAAAAAGTATTGACCATCCAACCTCTTTCGTTGATCATTTTATTGCGTTTATCATATTATGCAGATTTTTTTGAATATTAATTTTTGAGTAATAAAGAAGGTCTGTATGATGTTTTTTTTAATTATTACAGAAATGGAACCTCAAATGCTGTTGAAAAATGTAAGGCGGATGACAAGGGTCGTTTTATCAGCAGTGTTACGACGAACCCTTTAAATTCCAGCGTGATGTACTTTGGAAAAGAAAAGAAGGTATTTCTTTTTGCTTAGTATTGTATACGGTGGTATTGAGATTTGAGACGTATGGTATTGTTTTAAGTGGTTGTGTGTGTGTGTGTGTGTGTGTGTGTGTGTGTGTGTGTGTGTGTGTGTGTGTGTGTGTGTGTGTGTGTGTGTGTGTGTGTGTGTGTGTGTGCGCGTGTGTGTGTGTGTGTGCGTATGTGTGTGTGTGCGTGTATTCTAATAAGTAAATATTACCTATACGTATATATACATTTTTCCTATTCTATGTTCCAGGTTTCCTAATTATTGTCACTTTCTAGGGGAAAGTTTGTAGTCTGGTCACCCCAGGTCGCATACATTTTCTATTCTACTATAAAAAGTTATTAGATTTTATCGGCAGCTGCGTATTTTTCGAAACAGTAATTATAATTCTAATTACTATGCGAAATTAATAACACTAAACTTTCAAACGCTTATTAAATCGTATAATCAATTCGAAGGCTGGTCTGGTTTGGCCATGAAGAAAAAGAATATACATAGAAGGAATACATAGTGAAATTTAATTAAATAGTATCCGATATATTTCTATCCGCGCTTGCACCAATGAAATTGTTGACTGTAATTTTAAACGCCAATTTATCAAGAGCTCAGCGGTGAAGGAAAACATCTTGAGGAATCTGTACTAGAGCAGCGCGGTGGATTAACTGCTTACTTAATGAGACACTTAATGAGATTACATATAATAGGTACTAGCTGTTCCCCGCGACTTCGTCCGCGTGTTATTTGGAGTTTTAATTTTTTTGCGCGGAACTCTAATTCTTTTTCAAAAATAAAAGTAGCCTAAGTTACTCCTTGTGACATCAGCCATCTGCCAGTGAAAATCCCATCAAAATCGGTCCAGCCGTTTCACAGATTAGCCGGAATAAACAGACAGACAGACGGACAGACAGACAGACAGACAGACAGACAGACAAAAACTTTAAAAATTGTATTTTTGTTATTAGTACCGTATATATCTCCATAATTATGCATTTAGTAAAGAGCTGTAATTTTTACATTACAAACAGACACTTCAAGAAGTTAATTTATTCGAAAAATGTAAAGGTTACTGTTTATTTCTGTACTATTAGCTATATTTTACATAAATACGATTAAAAATAAATAAACCACAGATATTCATAAAAGTAGAAAAAAAACTGTACTACTACGCCTATAAAAGCTTGATTAAAATAGAATTTTATAATTAAACTATTTATACTTATAGCTTCGGCAAGTGCGTGTGTGCAGATTATCTCTGTTTTCAGAACTTTCAATGCTACAATGGTCGTAGTGTTAATTTAATCAAAACTATCGAGTATCAATTAATTTTCAGAATTTTTCACATTTTTACTTGCATCGTTTAAAAAAATAAGGATGATAGATGACTTCGTTCCAAAAATGCCGCTCAAAGCCGTTCTAAATGGCTTCATAACCTTTTTTATTTTTATAAAAAGGAGAAGTTAGTTAAATTTACAGCCTATAATATACGTCCCACTCGGCACAGGCCTTCTCTCACCTCCTCTCATTGGTGAGTGCTTAAGGCGAGAAAATGTCCACCGCGCTGCCTCAATGCAACTAACTATATACTAAAGTAAGAGACAAATATTGTGGGATAAATGACAATAAGACACAAATTTTCCGCCTCAAACTATATGCTCGAACTCTCATAATGAGTAGTGGCAGTTGCCACAAAAACAAAGAGCAAAGAAATCTCTTTCTGTCTCCATTAAATATGTTTAATATTTTAAAAATAAGAAGTTTTAAAACGTCTCAATAGTTATTAAATTTGAAACACAGATGTCCGTAAAAAGTTTGGTGTGGTCGCGTGCCAACCCGTTCGATATGTTGGCACTACTGCATGATGGCGCGGTGTGCGCGTGGCGTCTCACCAGCAGTGACATCAACGCGCGCCGTGTCGACGACGCGGCCGCCGTGTGCGTCACATCTGTTGACACAATGGTGAGACTTTTTATCGTATGATAATTTTTTTATAGAATGAGGGTGACAAGCGATAATATAGGCTACATTATGGTAAGTGGATGCTGTGGCCCATAGACTCGATTAAGAATTAAAATAGAGATGTTCATGATGGTGATGAATGAATGAATGAAAGAAAAGTCCACCTGATGGTAAGTGGCTATTGCAGTATTCACTTATCATTTGCCGCCAACTAAAAACAGAGATAGGCTACAGATGCGTTGTCACCTCAAAGAACTAACTCGACCATATTCAACGGAGAGCGGCCCGAATCGTCGACGATCAAGCTCTTTCCGATCGGCTTGATCTACTGGCGTTGCATCTCTCGCGGAGTGTTCAGGGTAATTGTGCGGATTAATTCCAGCTGCCGAATTCCACCATCGTACACTGTAACAGAACTCGAAATTCCATTCTCATCATCTCGATGGCTGGCGGTCCACTACTGTGCGATGTACGCGGAGTTTTCTGCCACGCACGACCAAACTGTGGAATTTACTGACCCAGCGGTTTTTCCGGAGCGAAACGACTTAGGGACCATCAAGAAAAGAGCCTACTCCTTCCTAAAATGCCGGCAACGCATCTGCAATTCCTCTGGTATTACAGATGTTCATGGGTGACGGTGATCACTTTCTATCAGGTGGGTCTCATGCTTCTTTGCCTACCCTTCCATAAAAAAAAAACATGGAATGCCTATAGTTATACGGTCAATATTATTATTGGCACTTCGTGTTAGTTATTAACTCTTCAAACCAGCAGACAGCACTGCACGCCTGGCAGTAGAACTAGGTAAAAGGGTAGTATCCACTTACCCTAGGCAGAGAGAGAGAGAGAGAGAGAGAGAGAGAGAGAGAGAGAGAGAGAGAGAGAAGGAGTCCTACCACTTTGAATCGACTACCATCAGCGATTTTTCCGGACCGATACGACTTCGGGACCTTCAAGAAAACAGTCTACTTTTTAAAAGGCCGGCCACGCATCTGCAATTCCCCTATAGTCGTATTTTTAATTAGACGAAGTCAACTGACGTTTACTGTGTTGTCAGTTTTTGATGAAATAAAAATAGTGTTGTGACAAAGTGAATGATTGAAAAACTCCTGAATTAATGAAATTGCCTCGATTGTCTAGTGAATAGTTAGTGTGCTGAACTGCCGATATCGGGTACGGGGTTCGAATTTTAGTCGTGCTTTGTACATACCAACGAGTTTTCGACGACTATGTTCCTATAATATCTACCTATACTGAATACCGAGTGTTTTAAACATTAAGGAAAATATTGCGAGGAAACTTGTAAGACTGTCCTATTTTCAATACATCATGTAGTTGAAACTATAGATGTATAAAATATAACAATTATAGGTAGGTAATGAGAATAAAAAAAATCGCTTATTACATACTTTGTTTTTATTCATTATCAGATAAAAAATCATCACTATCGCTTTCGGTGACATTAATTAAAAATCTGTCAGTAACATTGTCAATCATGTGGTCGAGACCATACATTTTGTCTTCTTTTTTAATTATATGAGACACGCAGCTATTCCATTTTTCAGGTGTGATATGTTGAAGTCCTTCTTCAAAAAGTTTTTTTACTTCTGTCATTTTGAAGGTTTTGTTATTTCTTGCAACATATCCTTTAGCCTGCGCCCATACCAACTCAATGGGATTGAGCTCACAGTGGTATGGGGGCAGACGTAAAACAATTATCCCATGCTGCGCTGCCATCTCGTCCACAACATACTTATCGCAATGTTCTTGCTTGTGCTGCCGTACAATGTCTATAAGAGTAGCTTTAACCATTGTTGCTTCGAATGAAATATTTTTGCTCGTTAGCCACTCTAGTATTCTAGGTTTAGTCCAAGACATTTTAGGCAGCGATTCTAGTTTCCTGGAGTGGTAGGGGGCATTATCCATCACTACTACGGAATTTGGTTTTAGTTTTGGCAAGACCCCCCTAAACCACTTCTCAAAGGAATCGGCATTCATCTCTTGATGATAATCTTCTTTATTTTTTTTGGCTTCAAATATTAATAAGCTGTCTTCTACGAATCCTTCTTCCCCGCCTATATGGCCGATAATTAATCGTTTGCCCTTTCCTGAAGGCTGTTTTAAGCCAGTGGTCAAGCCATCTAGGAAGGCCTGGCGGGACGATAACACTGTCTGGTCAATCCATGCCTTCTTCGGTGCATGACCTTCAAGATAGTGAAAAATATCAATTAATTATTGAAAGTACAATTTAATGTAAAGAAAACAGAAAATTGTAATTACCTTCGTTGATCCAGGTTTCATCTTGGTAATAAATATACCTTCCTTCCCTTCGATACTCTTTAATTTTTCGAAGGTATCGCTGGCGCCATAGAATAATGTCCTGTCTGTCAATTAAAATGCTGTGTCTTGATTTTGTGACATATTTGAAATTTAAATGTTTCATAACATTTCTTAATGTACTCCAAGAAAAATTGGGTAAGTCTGGGTCTTCATTGACAACCTTAAGAATCTGTAAAGTAATAAAAATATGTTTTGAGTAAGGAAGTCTACGCAATCTAATACTTTGGTTTTACAAAGAACATTATGGTGGACACAGAATATAATGCAGTAGAAGGAATAAAGTTTAAGTTACCTTTATAATGGTGGGTGACTCATTTGCATAAAAAAAATTATGTACTTTTCGCCTTATAGCGGCAAAAGTAAAATCGTCTAATTTATCTTTGAAACTGTGTTTCGGTCCACGTTTCTCGGGAGACTTAAATTGTTCATTTTCTTTGCATTCTTTTAACACACTGTAAACTGAGGTCACACCAATTCCCAAAATGTCAGCTGTTTTCGAAACACATTCTTTTTTTTCGGGGGCCTCAATAGGTAATAGTGAAGCAGCTTTTTCCTCAAATACGTGTTTGTAGACGTTTTGTATCATAAGTTTTTCGGTAACGCTTAAAGCAATCCGTGGTCTCTTCTTTCTTTGAGACAAGCTTTGGCTTGACGTGCTTGGTTGAGGATCCATATCATTTGTACGAAACAATATAGCAACAAATAAACACAACAATTACCACAAACACAACGTAACGAAAAACTTAACAAAAACAATAACTAAACAGCGTGAGCGCAGAAAAAACATTCGTGCTATCAGACCAGAGGTTAGAAGCCGAATAACAAACAAAATGGCGACCGACGCGCGCGGCGTTGATCGGTGTTGGCAGTAGTCGCCGCGCCGCGCTTTGTAATAAAACCTCAAAAAACTGATTGTAGTTACATACTACTAGTAACTTATATCAGAGCACTTTTATACAATTTTATTGTAAAATAGAAATAATATTCTTTTATAGTTTGAAATGATTAACTATACACACTCATTGTTCATTCATCTGATTGAACGAGAACTGAACGCATCACTATTACTTTAAATATGGCAACATTATTTTACAAAGTGACATTAGCTACTGTCAGTTGGCTTCGTCTAATTAAAAATACGACTATAGTTGTCGTTCATGGGCGGCGGTAGTAACTTACCATCAGATAAACCACATGCTTGCTTGCGTCTCATATTAAAAAAAAAACTTCCTACTCGCTTCGCTGGGCGTAAAAAATATCTTATCTAATAATTGTTATAAAAGTTGTTTTGTATTTAAGTCCTTTATATAATCGACTTCTATGCCAAATTTCATAAGAGTCCGTCCAACCATTCAAGCGTGATTGGAGAACAAACATACCTACTTTCATATTAGTAAGTTAGAGTAGGCCACTGACTTACAAGCGTTTTGTAACATGACATTAAATTTTTGGAGTTTTGGAGTTTATTCCTTATGAATTGTTAGACATATATACGCGCACGATATGCAACATAGATGGGTAGTAAAATCAAACCCTAACAAATAGTGAAGCCGTTATGGTTTTCGTCTGCGCAATGTACTTGCGCATCTCATAGCGCGAAATGAATAATGTAATATAAGTACCTAGGTATATTTTTTGTGTAATATAATTTATGTAATATATTTTATCAAATCAATATAAATAAATATATGGGTTCGTTTACTTCCTTTGACCATTGTATATATATTTTAAGACAATCGTTTTTCATTAGTAAACTCCGGTCGCGCGTCGGAGCTGATACGAACAATTTTTTTAATGACTATTTTTGATTACAGGCAATTGTTACGTCTCAAAATGAAGTGCAAGTCCACAGATTATGCAATGAGCAGCAAGAGATGGATAATGTAAAGTTGTTTCAGAAATACCTCGCACTTTTATAAAAATACAGATCTTTAATGCAATTATCATATTACAAAAATTAAACTTAAATAATGTTTTATTGCTTTTTACCGTCTAGTAGCGGTGTAAGAATATCCCATACCATATAGGTATCATCTCGTGGGTGTCGTAAGAGGCGAAAACAAATCTGGAGATGGACAGTAGGGTCTTCCTAAAAACGACTAAAAAAACTGCGGTTGACAACTAGCTTGCCAAGCGTGGCAAACTATGGCAAATATCCCTCCTTTGAGGCAATCTATGGGGGAATCCTATGTTCAACAGTGGACCTCTTGTAGGCTGTAACTAGGCTTGCCAACCGTCCCGGATTTTCCGGGACGTCCCGCTTCTGGGTCAATGTTGGACCGTCCCGCCGTAACCCCTTGCGGGACACTTTTCGTACCGGAAATCAGTGATTATATTATATTAGTATCTATCTCGTACCAACTACACCTTAGCCGTAGCTTCGATACCACTTTCAAATGCATCAACAGAGAGAGTGTTTTCTCTCTGTGGAAATGCATGGCCAGACAGCAGAAATAAGCTGTTTGTTGACCACGTCAAGGCTGAATTACAAATTAACATTAATTTTGATCAAAAATGCAGTGAATTTTTATAACCAATATGTTTTTTTTTTCTAACCAATTTGTATGTAGTGTGTTGTGTCCCGCGTAATATGCCCAAGTCCCGGATGTCGAGCTGGGTAATCCCGGAAATGCCGTTTTTGGAGTTGGAGAGCCTAGCTGTAACGGTAACGAATTTTTATTAAAAACCTACAAGTACCATTGATAATTAATAAAAAATGTTTGATTTAAAAATGTGAGTAACTACTGTCAAGTAACATAAGGTGAGAAGTATAGGTACCTGGCTAATGACAAATGGCAAACTTACTCGTAGTCTATGCTCGATGCTTGTAGTGTTTGAGTAGGTACCTAGTAGGTAATTAATTTAAAAGACTTTCTTGACATCTGCTGCGTACAGTTTATATAGTTCTGCACATATGTTTTGTATATATAACCAGCGACCCGCATGATTTTTGGAACTCCACAACACCGCCACCTACCGGGTTCAAATGTGAATCTAAACAATTTAGGGGCCCATTCACCATCATCATCATCATTACAGCCTTTCACAAGGCCATTGAGTATAGGCCTCCCCCAAGGAATGCGACAAAGCACGGTCCTGAGCAAGGTGGCATCCATCGACTTCCTGCATGTCTTACCAGGTCGTCACTCCATCTCGTGGGGGGTCGCCCTACACATCGCCTACCGGTACCAGGCTGCCACTCAAGAACCTTTTTTCCCCATCGATTGTCGCTTCTTCGAGCTATATGGCCGGCCCACTGCCACTTCAGCTTACTAATCCGTTGGGCTATGTCGGTTACTCTGGTTCTACCGCGGATATCCTCATTTCTAAGTTTATCACGCAAAGAAACCCCGAGCATAGCCCTCTCCATAGCTCGCTGAGCGACCTTGAGCTTCCTCATACGGCCGTGAAGGACCACGTCTCAGATCCGTAAGTCATCACTGGCAACACGCACTGGTTGTACAATTTCGTTTTAAGCCACGGAGCCGAGTTGAATCCGTCGATTGACTAACCTAGTCGGACTATTTGTCCCAGGTAAACATACTCGTCAACAACTTCTAGCTTAGTGTTCCCAACAACTACCGGCATAGGTGTGACATGGACGTTAAACATGATTTTTGTTTTGTCCATGTTCATCTTAAGACCTATTCGTTGGGAGACACTATTGAGGTCATTGAGCATGGTGCTTAGGTCCTCCAGCGATTCTGCCATAAGGACTATATCGTCGGCAAATCGAAGGTCAGTGATGTACTCGCCATTGATGTTAATACCGTATCCTTTTCAGTCCAGAAGCTTGAAAACGTCTTCCAATGAAGAAGAGAGGTCCGGTGAAGAGTTTCTGGGATAAAACATCACCCTGTCTTACATCTCTCTGCAATTGGATATGTTTCGTACTCTGGATCTGTACTCGGATAGCCATCGTAGCCCTACTGTACAAGCGCTTCAGCACTTCAATATACCGACAGTCAAATTGGCACCGCTGAAGGGACTGCAGCACCGCCCAAATTTCGACGGAATCAAAGGCTTTCTCATAGTCCATATACGCCAGATAAAGTGGCAAATTGTACTCCTCGGACTTCTGTACAATTTGCCGAAAGGTATGTGTGTGGTCTATGGTGCTAAAGCCCTTTCGGAAACCGGCTTGTTCGGGAGGGTGGAAGTCGTCAAGACTGCGCGCGAGACGATTCGTAATGACTCTCGAAAACAGCATGTAGACGCGGCTCAGAAGGGAAATCGGTCTGTAGTTCTTCAAGAGAGCGTTGTCATCTTTCTTTAAGAACAAGACCACCGCACTTCTCCACGCCTCCGGTGTAATGCCACCATGGAAGACGGAATTAAAGAGCTTCTGAAGGACTTCAAGTACCGGTTTTCCACCCGCTTTCAGAAGCTCCGCTGTAATTTCATCCTCGCCTGGGGCCTTGCCGTTTTTAAGGTGCTGGAGAGCCATTCTAATCTCGCTCAGACTTACGCCCAGCATATCTTCGGAATAGTGTCGGATAAGACTCGCTCTTGGATCGTTACTCACGTGAGCGTGTGGCTCCAACGATGACGTGTACAGCTGCCCATAGAACCTCTCAATCTCACTCAAAATCTCAGGTGCCCCGGAAACGATGCTGCCACGCTCGGTATTCAGCTTTGACAAGTGGCTCTTTCTGGCAGACAGATATCTGCCAGAAACTGGGACCCATTCTAAACACAAAAAATTCATCAAAATCGGCCGAGTCGTTTTTGAGTTTAAGCCATTATTTATTCCGTGGTTTTGTATATATAGAGAAGATTATAATGATAATATAAATCCAAAAAATGGAAAAAAGTATTAAGTAATTTTTTATTCATTATAGACTATCAAGTTCACTGCTGAACACAGGCCTCTCATCTTATAAGGGGGATTTCGCCATAATTGGCGCGCTGGCGCTGGGTTGGTAACCGCAGCTTTTTTTGTTGGTAACAGGAAAATACTCATGTCTTGTTTCATAATGTAGCAAAAATGTTCGTTTGTTTTTTACCTTTTTCGTACGTGTGTACTAAATAGATAAAAAATAAACTTACATTTAAATGAAATAATTATGTTAGATTATTATTTTCTCGTTGATATCGACCTAAAGCACATAAATATTAGTTTGAACATTGAATGAAAATTATTTTTGTTCTTAGTCCTTAGGAAGCCATAACGTAATTACTATGGCCATGACCGGTCGGTTGACTGCTAACAATTTATTGTTGCCACCCTGGAAAATTACCCTATGTTAGGGGAACTTAATATAAATACGCGAAATTCCCAGGATCAATTTTAAACATTACTGTAATTGCATTATTTTTACACTATTGTGCTTTTATTGTACATTAACGCTAAAATTATTGTAAAGAGAAAAAATAAGGAAAATCTACACAAATACACAAAATACAATGTATATTATGTAAAGAAATGTGTAGGCTTAAAAATAAAAAAATATGTTTAGGTACAAAGAGTTTTTATATTTTTTTTGATTTTACACGAAGGAGTATACTGTCCTTGTTGGGAATTTATTGAAAGTTTTACACAGTTGAGTAGGTACATAAAATGGCTTAAACTATATTGTATAGATATATTGTTAATGTTTAAGACAAGACGCTACATCAATGTGATTTGGTCATCATCATATTATCACTATTACACATTTATTTTACACCAAATCAAAGTAATAATAACAATGCAAGTTCGTACAAGTACATATTCTCAGTAAGCTTACAAAGAGTTAGGTACAAAGTTTTCCCGTCACGTACATTAATATATAGATTGTGTAAGTGTATATATTGTCATAATATCAAATAATTTTTCAAATTCAAATTCAAATTCATTTATTTATTTGTGAATACAGTAAGTTAGGTGTTCGTAAAATTTACAAAGTTAAAACTTGCAGAAAAGTTAGAATTTGCAGCTCTTTAAAATGTGGTTTACAGCTGTCTGTCCAGTGTAGATGTTTTATTGCTCAAATGCACTTTTCTTGAGCTTTGATTACCTTTTCCCGATCCACTGAGTTTCCCCAAAACATCACACCGTACCTAAGTGTTGATTCAACGTATCCAAAATATGCTATACGAAGTGTTTGCCTATTTTCTCTTTTATTTAACTTACACAAGGCGTATGAAAATTTATATAATTTACTGCAAACACTATCGACCTGTGCCTTCCAGTTCAGTTGGTCATCAATGATAATTCCTAAAAATTTTGTTTCTATCGTTTCATAAATTGGTGAACCTTAATAATGAATATTAATACTTGATAAACTATCTTTTTGCCAATTAAATTTCATAATTTTAGTTTTCTCTAAATTTATATTTAAGTTATTTTTTACGAGCCAGTCAATTATAAGACCAATGGAACTGTTAATCTCAATTTCATAGTTTTGGGTATTATTTCCTTCATAAACGACCGTACAGTCATCCGCAAATAGGACCATAGATTGTTGTATCACCGATGAAAGGTCATTAATGTACAAAAGAAATAGGAGTGGCCCCAAAACGCTTCCTTGTGGAACGCCGTAGTACACAGCTCGGGGTATCGATCGATAAATCTTCTCTGTCAACTTTATAGGACATATTCTCAATATTGGTGTAATTTTCTTATTAATATTTTTTTATTTATTTAAGCTTTCATGCACAAAGTTGTACATATGGCGGACTTAATGCCATAGGGCATTCTCTCCCAGTCAACCATTAGGCTAAACAGAGATATAACAAACAAGAGGCGGTGCAGCAGTAATCAAAATAGAAAGCGCTAAAAGAAAAAAATTGTATATACATATAAATATACATATACACACACATACATAGACATATATACTTAAATACACACAATATATATGACGGCACCTGCACCGTTGTAGATGCGGTGGCGTCGGTCTAGCTAGACAGAATTCTTGTAAACGACACGTGTACG